TTTCAGGATCCTTGGCTGGACCTCGTCGGCCCCAACGCGCAGATGCAATGTAATCCACCGTGAAGACCAAGTCGGTTAGAGGCTGTTTTTAGTTCCGCCTTGACAAGAGGGGATGTGACGAAGACGCTGCGGCTGAGTATAGACAAGCATAGTGTTCNCTGTAAACCTCAGATACCACTGTTGGGTCATTTGTCGGTTCTCTGTTTCTGTTCTTCAAGGAGAACGCGGATGGCTTGTTTCTGCGGCGATGTCTCATGTATTTGAACAAGACGTTTTTGTTTTTTTCGAGCGAGGTCCAGAATGGTGGCTTGTTTTCGCATGTTCCATTTGCGCATTTCCGATTTACAGCGGTTCCGCATTTTACGAAATTCCAGGTCATCTTCAGTATCCACTGTAGTCAACTCTTTGAAAAAGAGTTGGGATCTTTTTTCCAGAAGTCGCGGAATCCTTTTTGGCATCCTGGGGTTCATCCGAGTGCGTGCTGGTTTTCTTGGGACGAACGTCGCGTCAGCCTCGTGAACGTTCTGGACAATGGTCCTATATAGTTCTTCCACCGGAGCTGGTCTCAGTGTGACTTGTTCAAGGAAGATGCGCATTCCTGAGAAGTCCGCACGGCAGAAGTCTCGAGACCACGCTTGAGGCTCGCGATTACTGCCTCAAAAGCAGATGAAATCAAAGGCCAGCAAACAGTGGTCGCTATGTCCCAGTGGAGCGTTAATTGTTCCCTGATCAACGAAGTGTCTCGTTGGTGATGACCAGATCCAGGGGGGATGATGGTTGGCCTGCGCGGTATTTGGTGGGTGCAACGACATGTTGAGTCCAAGCGCTCTGTTGAACGAATTCAATCAGCGCCGCAGCAAAACGTCCGCCTGATTCGACGCGTTGGAGTTCCATCCAGGAGACCTTTGGGGCGTTGAATTCACCTACCAGCAGGAGATGAGTGAAGTGGTGGTGGGAGGAGAGTTGCTGAAGGGTTTGTATGAGGAATTGGTCATCTTCAGGGGGACTCAAGGGGCTACGGTAGACCACACCGAGAAGTAGAGAATCGGACCCGCGCAGCGGGGTTTGAACCCATAGTGCACCGCAAAAGGGTGCGGGGGTGGCTTCAGAGAGGACAGTCGGGATTGGTAGGCCCGCATGTAAGTACAGAGCAACCCCACTTGCCCGCCCTCGTTTTGAGTCGGCTCGAAAAATAGAGTAACCTTCTATCGCGATCTCCGCGTCAGAGATATCTGGTGTGAGCCAGATCTCTGTGAGTGCGATTATAGACTGTTGTTCAAGGCAAGCCGACTGCTTAACATCGCCGAGTTTGTTGAAAAGGCTGAGGCAGCTTGTGATGACATTTGTTTTGCATTCGGCGTGCTTGGTTTGATCCAGTGAGTGAGGTTGTTGTTGCTTTGAAATACGCACGCACAGGGGGCAACAATAAGTTTGATTGAAAGGTTCTCAACACCGGATGAGAGGCAAATGCGTGATCTCAAACGTCAACTCTCCAAAGCACAGAGTGGGGCATGTCTACAGGGCAATGCAGACGGCTCCGGTTTTGCTTGAGGATTACAAGTTTTCCTGAATAATCTCGTGAACGTCTTCATAACCTTGAGAGGGTTTGGCACCAAAACGCATCATGTTCTTGTAGCTCGTGAGTCAACTGCCTTAAGTTGCCACATACGGTTAAAGAAATTTTGTTTAAGTACATCAAATTCCTATGCCTATTCAGGAAACGAGCAAAATTTTCAATCATTGGCTTATATTCATCATGATAGGCGCTACGCCAGAGAACTGCAATTGGGCAGGAGTACATTCCTCATGTTTTCAAAACTGTGAAGCTATTGCTTGTCACCTGTGGGTATATCTGTGCGTTTTATTCACATTATCAACACTTCCTTACACACTATGTTTCGATCGTGTGTCCTACGGCTGCGCGATTCGGATGCAAAACAGGCTACATTCGATTGGTTTAACTATTAAGGAATAATACTTAAGCTTTAGATTGGATGCATATTTTGCCCTGTGTAGAAAATGAATACATTCTATCTGTTACTTAGCGTCAACCGCTGCACAAGCAGAAGCGCGCCAAACCATTGTGTGATTGATTACCGCTAACAAGACTACCAGTCTTGAATGGTTGTAACGTATGACATCCCTCATTACAACCTTGAGAGTCTCAATCGGAGGTGAAACAGTGGACTTTAGGTCAAGTTGGCAAACATTTTACTGGCAGGGCAGCAAGAATTAGGCACTGAGGGCCCACCTTTCTTATTCCAGGGGTTTTTATAAAACATTCGCCAGGCTTATTTCACAGAATCTGTACATAACTGGCAATATGGATGTGGCCGCCTCGCCGTTCAGATTGGTGATGATCATCAATTCAACCGTATCCGTTATGTCAGGCGGCAAAGCTCTGTTTTGCTGGAGGACGTTCTGTGTGCCGCTCTACTACCCCGCGCTGAGAACATAAAGAGCAGTGCTACACCCCTTTTTCACTTGTGCCTTTCAGGTGAACGACAGCCACTGACCGATAAGAACAAAACTGACCAGGGAAACTTGGGCGAAAGCCTCGATCCTGTGTATCAATTCGTGAATCGTGACTTGCTGAACTGGCGTGCAACACTGTGCCCATACCCGGCCTCCCGCTCCACCCACTATGGTATACTAAAGTCACGGTGACTCCAGACAGCCGTTCATGGACGTACTCAGTTATAAGTGGGGCTAAGTTCGCGACTCGGTTGTTTCAAAAGTCCATTCGAAATTCACCACGACACTCCTTTTTATTATTTGGCTTTACTCCGCGTTTATGCATTGACATTAAAGATTGACATTATTGATATCTTTTTACGGCAACTTCGGGCTGGCAATATTTCACCCTAGCAGCTAAATTTTGCAGTCGCCATTGAATGCTCTGTGCACTCGATCGTCTGTTGGGGTTATTCGGAAAGCTGCAAGATCAACAAGTTGTTATCACTGGCACTGTAACCGGTCATGCGTAGCACCACCAAACAGAAAGATTTGAACCAGTAACACTCAAATATCTCGGCTAGTTCGCAAAACCGCGTGCACAAACTACGCACCATTCTAAAAATAGAGATACTGTAGACGGAATCAGCGCGGGTGAGCCACGTTGGTCATTTAGCAACTGAGGATTTCAAAAGCAGCAACGGTGCACTTAATTTGAGTAGAATAGCAAGATTAAGCAACAGAACACCGCACAGTGTGCAAATTCAAAAACTGCTTGGTTGACTCTCAGTGGAGCAGAAGCTACGCGCCGTCTGTTACTGAAGCACTTGGATAAACCACCATAAAGCATTAATTGGGCCAATTTCAGGCGGGTCCATCAACCTGTGGAATTATATACAACACTTTGCACACATTACGCTTTTTAATGCAAAAGTTCCGAATGCAACATTCAGCCCAAAAAGTCTACACAACATGACACAATATTTAGTGTTTTTCGCTGGTTGCTTCGTGCCTGGACGTGACTGCATTTAATAGGACACTGACGTAAAACTTCCCGGTGAGTGGCTGCCCATTCTTGTATTATTTTCTCTTTCATACAAAAATACTAAGTGCCACAAACTGGCTGCTCCATTGATATTGGCGAATAGGTGCATTCTTCATCATTACAAATTGGCAAAGTCTGTTCACCCAATTAAAGGTGCTGCGCCGGCTCCCCCATAAACAACATATCTAATTAAATAAACGCACTTGCTTTACGCATCTCTTTGCATGCTTTGCAAATGTTTGACGCCATGGAGTTTACAACTTGTCAGAAAATCCTGCGGTTTATATCATTCCGATCTGGCGCCATTATTTGGTTGCAGCTTTATAGGCTCGACCCATAAGCGTTTGTGTAGGACAATGCGAAATACGGAGTAGTGTACGCATCAATAACGATGTCGGCGGCCATAATATTGTTAACAGCACTTCTGAGTTCCACGATCATGGGAAGTCCACCTTCGCCAGGATCGAATGCGAGCAATTTGTTGGACGCAAAATGTGGGCAAACGTGGCTGCCAAACGTTGAATATGTGGCGTGCGTTTTCAACCAGGAATCAAATTTTCGAATAGCTTGCTCTCTGAACCTTACTAAAGGTAATGGACAACCGGAGCAAGAAAGAACAGCTGGACTTAATTTTACCGCAGAACGCCGCCAGAATTGAGCACCTACATAAAGAGCGCGTAACTCAAAGTGTGAGAGAAACCATGAGTTTATAGATGACCTAAACTATATGCCACCGGTTGATCTTAGAGATAACCATCATTGTGTACAAGTGTCAAAAAGTAATGAGAAGGTAAACACCCTTGGCTCCCAGCACTTTTGGACCAAGAGATTACTGCCTATAAACCGCTTTTTGAATCAAAGCTGGAAGAAGGGGATATTGACATTGAGAAAGGGGGACGACACTATTGCAGTTTACGTCAGAACCCCGGGGACCTGTGGGGTGAATTCATTTGGACCGTATAGATTTACCATCAAATTTGATACTTCTAGCTCACTCAAACGATGTAACGACCGTTTCGAATTCTTGAGCAACGAGCACCAAGGTTAGCAACCAAACCGGCAAAACTCCGAACGAATGGCTACGCAAATGTGCTGTACTATAAAAATGAAAGTAGTAACACGGAATACAAAATTACTAACCTCAACGGTTTTCGACAAACGGTGAGGTACTCCAAAAGGCAAGCAGAGCCGATATGGATCAACAGTCAACGCGTGACCGAAACCGCATCTCAAGCTCATGAATTAAAACATTATATAGCTGCTCAAGGATTTGGTACAAAAACAGTATAACCAGAGCGGTGAAAGCGATTTGCGCGGTAAGGAAAACGGAGAATATAAATGTCTTGTAAAACTGAAATTGGGTTCGATTCCACCAGTCCATAAAGGGTGGACCATTTGAAATGTTAACCGGGAAGGCAGT